TTTTTATTTTAGTTTTTCCTGTTACTACTATCCTCAACAGTCACTTCGCAGATGAGTGACTAGGAACATGGGCTTTGTAGTCAGGTTAGAACCTCATCTGTGAAATGGAATATAATACCTACCTCATAGATTTGTGAGAATGATTAAATGAGATAAAATATAATTCATTACATACTATTCTGCTACATCCTAAGTACCAGTTACTATTATTAGCATGTTTTAGAAAGAAAATTCTCATAATGACAAAAAGACATTCAGAAGTAAATTTCGAATACCATACACTAGAATTTCACACAACGGTCTTTTGGAAGGAATATCTGTTTTTCCTTAAGCACCTGACTGGGTGAAAGCACACACCACAACAAAATGTATGTAGGCATTACCAGGTGATGGCGTGAGGGTTACACCCCTCTTTCACTAGATCCACGGCGAAACTTTGGACCATGAATAGCTGGAGAAAAGTTTTCTCTTGGCACCTGTCTGGGTTCTCTTCTGATGTCCCTGGTTACATAGTAGACTGTAATCTGCTTTGGAACCTCACCTTCGCATTTGTAATGGTTCCCTGTGGACTGAGCTGGTCCACATACAAGCTTTCCAAGGAAAGAGACCAGAAACTGGTCTCTCCCACGTTAGCCCCCGTGTTGGCCATGACCTGTAATCCTCACAACCTGTGGGTGAGGTCATTATTTCTTCCTAATTTTATGTGGATTACTATTTCTGAATCAAAGAGCATCAGAGTTTTTAAAGTCTGAGTGTGCTTATGCAGTCAATGGAAAAGAAGAATACAATTAATCTGGATGGTCTTGGAAATTCAGGGCACATGGTTACTATAGTGAATAGTGTCATAATAAGGTATAAAATAAGAGATATATACTTTCTGGACGGTTAATCTGGTACATTGGTCTACAAATCTGCCAATGAGATTCAAAAAATTTTTTAAAGATTTTATTTATTTATCTGACAGAGAGAGAGAGACACAGTGAGAGAGGGAACACAAGCAGGGGGAGTGGGAGAGGGAGAAGCAGGCTTCCGGCCAAGCAGGGAGCCCGATGCGGGACTTGATCCCAGGACTCTGGGATCATGATCTGAGCCGAAGGCAGACGCTTAACAACTGAGCCACCCAGGCGCCCCTCAAGTTTTTTTTTGTAAGTGTGTGTGTGTGTACAGCTTCTGTAAGAAAAAACAGGTTGAACAAGGATGCCCTGTTTTGATGGTTGCCCAGAGAAACATATACCCACGCGTAAGTCATTTGTATATGAAACAGTCCATTAGGAGATCGCTCTGTGCAGCTGCTTGACCCAAGCATTTTTTTTCCCCAGTCTCTTTGAAAGAAGTCTTAACACAAGTCTGTGGAAGGAATAACTTAAGTCTCTCTAATAATACTTCAGTTAGCAAAGCATTAAAATGTCAAACTGTTTCAATTGGTCAGGGCATATCCTTATAAAATTGAATCATAGTCCTCTGTTATGTATTTTTCTATTGTCTTCCATGATTTTTTTAATTTGAATTCAGTTAACCAACGTATAGTACATCCTTAGTTTCTTCCATGATTTTTCAAATATATTTTATATATTTATATACAGTACTTTAAAATCCTTTCATTTCACTTAATGTACAGTAATTTTTTCCAAATTAAGGAAATGCTACATATAAAGTTACAAAACTAACTTAAAATAGTAACCTTTATTCACATAAGAAGATGATCCTGTACTCTTTTATGTCAGTGTCACTTAACTACAAAAGTAATCCTGTTTCATAAAAACTCAAATAATACGTAGAAAGTATGAGGTTACCTCTTTGCCTCTCCTGACCTCAGAGGGTGACCACTGGTAATAGTTCAAGTGCGACCTTTCAGACCTTTTTCTAGGCCCATGCAAACACACAGGTGTATCTTGTAAAGAGTGACTATAACATTCTTGAGGAATTAGGAGCACTGCTATGTGGAAAAAAAAGTTTGATGATGTTAGTCGTTATGTTAAAAGGAGTCATTTTCACAAACACTGGCAGATCGTTTTGTTGTAGCCCAGCTTTCCAAGTTTGAAGGAGTACTATTTTATACCAGGTGTAAAGTCAAGGGCATTTAGTAAAATGTTTTACCTTTGATTTTCTGTACTTCGCAGTTTGACCATGGATAGTTTATGAAGAGTACAGTATTCAGGGAAGATGGAAAAACAGCCAGTGTCAACTAAAGTAATAAAGCGGAGTTAATCCCATGTCAACAATTAAATTCCTTTAAAATTACTTGTTGCAGTCAAGAAACAATCCACCATTCTGTCATTTTTTTTTTTTTAGCTTGTTCGTAGGTGGAATTTCTTAGGTGACTCTTTAAACCTTATATATCTAGTGTTCTCAAGTTATTCATGAAGATTTCCTGTTGAGAGGAAAAACCGGCATTTATTTGGCGTTTGACACTATAAATCACAGTGGTTATGGGGGCAGAGGGAGGTCCGTAAAGGGCCAGTTGGATCTCTTTGATGCTAATTTGTCCTGTTCCCAGGCCCTTTCTGCCCTGATATGCTTGCCACTTAAAGAAATATGCACAGAGGATAGGCAGTGAGCATCAGGATTCCTTTATGTAAAAATTTCTGCTCAAATGAAAATTTTAGAATACTACAATAGCCAAACTATGGAAACAGCCCAAGTGTCCATTGACTGATGAATGGATAAAGATGTGGTATATGTGTGTGTGTGTGTATATGTGTGTAAGTGTGTGTATGTGTGTATACATGTGTGTATACATGTGTGTATATGTGTGTACGTGTGTATATATATGTGTGTGTGTATATATGTGTGTGTATGTGTGTATGTGTGTATATGTGTGTGTATGTGTGTATGTGTGTATATGTGCGTGTGTATGTGTGTATATGTGTGTATACATATGTGTATGTGTGCATATATGTGTGTGTATGTGTGTATGTGTGTGTATATGTGTATGTGTGTGTATGTATGTGTGTGTATATATGTGTGTGGATGTGTGTGTGTATATACACACACACAATGGAACACTACTCAGCCATAAAGGGAATGACATCTTGCCCTTTGCAACAACGTGGGTGGAGCTAGAGAGTATAATACTAAGTGAAAGAAGTCAGTCAGAGAAACAAAGATAACCATATGATTTTACTCATATGTAGAAATTAAGAAACAAAACAAATGAGCAAAGAGACCAAAAAAAAAGAGAGAGAGCAAAATCAAAAAAACGGACTCTTTTAAGTCTAGAGAACACCCTGATGGTCACCAGAGGGGAGGTGGGTGGGGGGATGGGTGAAGTAAGTGCTGGGGATCCAGGAGAGCACTTGCTGTGATGAGTACCCGGTGTTGTATGGAAGTGTTCAATCTCTATGTTGTACTCCTGAAATGAATATCACACTGTATATTAACTGGAATTTAAATAAAAACTTAAGCAAAATAAAGCATTGTGTTAAGGAGCAAATTAAAATAAAATACGGTTAGGTAAAATATGTAAGGAAAGGTGGGCCTCAAATCCTTTGTAAAGCAAGGTAATATAGAAAGTAGATGTGTAAAAAACCTAAAGTTTTTTGTTGTTGTTGTTGGGTTTTTTTTGTTTTGTTTTGTTTTGTTTTTAGTATAGTTGACACACAATGTTACAGGTGATTTGACAAGTTTATACATTGTGCTATTTCAGCACAGGCGTAGCCACTGTCTGTCCATTACATGGCTATTACAGTATCATCGACTGGATTCCTTGTGCTCTGCTTTTTCTTCCCATGACTTAACTCATTCTATAACTGGAGGTCTGTATCTCCCTCTCCCTGTCACCCATTTTGCCCAACCCCCCACTCTCCTCCCCTCTGGCAACCATCAGCAAAAACCTAAGATTTTATTTGAGGTAATAGCTGTGAAGGGTAACATTAATATCATCTTCATAGGAACAGTTTAATCACATAGCTCCCTTTAGTTTTTTTTTAATTCTCTAAAAATTTTATTTTCAAGTTTGAATTTGTCACCTGAATAATTTTTTTTTCCTGCAGATAATTTCCTATAGGATTCCTCAAGTGTGGTTGAGATTTTACATTTTTGAACCATAGCCCTGGCCTCATGGAGTTCATTGTCTCTCAGGAGAGACAGATAATTGGGCAACTACAGTGAGAGCTCAGGGCAGAAACCCCTCTGTCAGTGATGCGGGGTTGGGGAAGTGCCACCAGGGAAGCCTTCCCGGCAGAGGTGACTCCTAACATGATATCTGAGAGATGTGCACACACGAGTCAGGCAAAGAGCAATGGGCTTGGGCTGGGAATTGGCCAGGGAACCATCAGCATCTACCAAAGCCTGGCCATGAGAGAATCCAGAATACGGTTAAGTAAGTGCTAGAAGTTTAGTCTGACTGTAGGGTAATTAGAAACATTTATTATGATAGTTATACATGTCCACTGTATATAAAATTTGAAAAATACAGGAAACAAGAGAAAACATATGCCATCACTCATTTCAAGCTGCAGAGTTTCCTGTGAATATTTTCTTACGATTTTGTCATGCCTTACATTTGTATTTATAGGATAACACGTTTGGTATACTCCCAGTGCAGCTTAATCCAGTGCTATGTATGGAGGCATAAATGCATGCATGTATGAAGACATTTTATTTTTTTTTAATTTTCTTTTTAAAGTTTTATTTATTTATTTGAGAGAGAGAAAGCGAGCATGGCGGGGAGGGTCAGAGGGAGAAGCAGACTCCCCGCGGAGCAGGGAGCCTGATGCGGGACTCGATCCTGGGACTCCAGGATCATGACCTGAGCTGAAGGAAGTCGCTTAACCGACTGAGCCACCCAAGCATCCCTGTATGAAGACATTTTAAATAAAATTGTGATCACGCCAAACATGCTGTGTGTTACTTTATTTTTTAACCTTTCTTTTTTACATTTCAATATACTTACTTATTTTAATGCCCTTGGATAGAATTACATTTCAAGTGGAAATGTTTCATCTCTGTGAATAAAAAGAAATATTCTTGAAATGAGCTATTTGTATTCTTCTCTGCAGGAAGAATGTTTCCTGAACCTAGAGGCTCCTATATCAAGGGTGTGTGGGTATGACACACCGTTTCCTCATATTTTCGAGCCATTCTACATCCCAGACAAATGGAAATGCTATGATGCCCTTCGAAAAATGATCAACTATTGATCATATTGGTAAGTCAGCCCTGCATTTTGACAAAGCTAGCATATGTCACTCACATGACTGTTCCATTAACCAAGAGCCACGGTCATCAGTGCATTGGCAATTTCCAGAACAAAGTGGATTGAAGAAAAAAAATTGAAATTTATGGTGGTATATTTACATATAATAGAAACACATCAGGTATATGTTTATCTGATATCTATAAAACATGCGTGCGTATATTAACATTGAGAAATCAAATATACCTTACTCCACTCTTCCAACTTTATCCTCATTTCTGTATATTTTTATCAGCCATTTAAATTGTTCATGAATTGGGTTAATTTCTGTTATTTAAAAATGGTCCTTCGAGCACCATTGTTTTGGACTCCAGTGAATTTAAACTATATGATGATTCATAACATGAAATTTGCCTTTATATTATCTAAAAATAGGTTTGTTGAGCAGGAAACCTATTTATTGTGTATAGGGAAGTTTTTACTTAAAAGAAAAATCCAGCACCACCACCATTTCCAGAATCCTTTTTGGCAAGTGAATGTTTTTAAATTGTGGATAATAAATGACATTTATTTATTATGATTTTCTATGCTTATCTGCCTCTTCAGCAGTGTTATTCTAGCAAAAAATGAGTATCATTAAAAACTTTAGTTTTCAGGTTTTAATATAGAAAGAAGTTGATACACTGCTTTGTTTTATCTTGGCATTTTTGAAATGCATAGATAGGATAAGATTTTACATTTAATATTTTAATATTAGCATGTGATATTTACATTTTAATATCTAGATTGTCTAAAAAATAGTAATAATAATACATTTTGAAGAACTGCCATCTTTCAAAGAAAAAGGGAAAATAGACTCTGTGTAATAACATAAGCCCACACTTTTTAAAGATAAGAAATATTGTAATTCTTGAATTCTGTGTCTGAGGAGTAAACCTAGCCCATTGAAAACCAGAGAGATACCGTTAAATTTGTACAGATAGAGAAAATAATGCCCCCTCCATTTGCCACTATGACCCCCACATTTTTTGCAGTTCTATTTTGAGAATGTTGCAGATGTAAGTTTGGGCCATTAGTCCACACATCCTTGGTATTCTCTCAGACACACTGAGGGAAATGCTGTGTATCTGGTGTCCTCTTAATGTCTGTGAAAGCAGCTGGCTTCGACAGTTAGTCACACTTAGGACTAGTTAGAGGAGTACCATCTCTTTTGTCCATCTTCTTTCCATGGACTATCCCTAATGGAGAGTCAAGGTAATAATAACGTGTGGCTATAGAGTTTAGGTGCTGGTTTAAATTTGGATATATAATTCTTTTTAAACATAAAAAATATTTAAACCTATTGAAAACATGATAAAATAGTTTTTCTATGCTTTAAGTGAAATATGGCATTAAGGAAAAGAGTCATGCAATTAAGAAATCTATATTTAATTCATGATGGCCAGAATGTCTATAATTGTTATTAATTTCTTTTACAGAAAAACTGGAAGATTGTGACTAGATACAGAAATATTTTTCTGAAAATTCTTTTTATTTCCTCAGACTTCTCTCTTCTTGAAAATAGAGTTTTTATGAACTGAACCATCATGGATATTGGCTGAAAATTTTTAATTAGTTACTGTATTAACACATATGAATTGATTTCCATTAAGAGTGTCTGATTAACTTTTTAAAATGCTTCACTTGGTAGTCTTATAAATTCCATTTAATTACATCTGTAAATATTGGGCATGGGGTAGTATTCAATAAAGCAAAATCAGATTGTCCTCAGGTTGTGTGTCTTTTTTTTCATTAGCTAAAAGAATCTTCATCAGAGTAATAGATTAACTTGTTAATTAAATCTGAATGAAAGTGAAATGCTTAGAAATGCTGATTTTCAGCTTCATTATATTTAGTGTAGTTCTTTATGGCGAAGATGGTTGTATGTTGATGAAACTTCTGGGATATTTTTCCTGGTTCTTCCCTCTTGTCTCAACAAGATGCATTGATTGGGTTGCGTGGTGGCTTAGTCCTTAAGCATCTGTCTTTGGCTCAGGTCATGATCCCGGGGTCCTGGGCTCGAGCCCCGCATCGGGCTCCCTGCTCAGCAGGGAGCCTGCTTCTCCCTCTCCTCCCAGCTCGTGCTCTCCCTCGCTATCTCGGTCCTTCTCTCTCTCTCTCAAATAAATAAATAAAATTAAAAAAAAAAAGATGCACTGATGGGCATACTCACTTTTTCTCCAAAGCATGGTGGGGCAGGACCATCCTTGCTGCCTCTGTTCCTAATTTTGGGAGATGGACAGCACGAGCCTGCCTTTTGTTATAAAGTTGCCAAGCTTTTGCTACAGCTGGTTTTTTTTTTTTTTTGCCATGATGTTGCAAAGGAGGGATCTTTTTCCATGTCCTTTCTATTATTTGTAGATAAAAAGAAAAATAACATTAGCAGCATCAAAACGCCCTGGCAGGACTCCTGGGTGGCTCAGTTAAAGTTGTCTGCCTTCGGTCCTGGGACCGAGTCCCACCTCGGGCTCCCTGTTCTGCGAGGAGTCTGCTTCTCCCGCTGCCCCTCCTTCCGCTCGTTCTCTCATTCTCTGTCTCTCAAATAAATAAATAAAATCTTAAAGAAGAAAAGGGCCCTGACAAGAGGAAGCCTCTGTGTTGGGTACATTGCCAGGGCCCCTCATTTCTTAATCTGCCTCTTCTGCCCTTCATTTGAGTTTGAGACCGGCCCGAACAGCCTCAGGAATCCCTTTGCAGGACGCCTCATCTCTGGGGGCTTGGCCCTCCCAGGTGGTGCTGGCCAGTCTGCCACCCTTTCCGTAGATTCCAGAAAGTTTGTTCTCACCAGGCCCAGCAGAAAGATCCACCTCCCTAAAAATCAGAGAAACAGGGTCATAGAGTGTTTTCCTTTCTCTGTAAAGACCAAATGGATATTTTCTTATGATTACAAATGTTTACTTTACTTTATTTATTTATTTATAAGATTTTATTTATTTATTTGACAGAGACACAGCGAGAGAGGGAACACAAGCAGGGGGAGTGGGAGAGGGAGAAGCAGTCTTCCTGCGGAGCAGGGAGCCCGATGCGGGGCTTGATCCCAATCATGACCTGAGCCGAAGGCAGATGCTTAACCACTGAGCCACCCAGGTGCCCCTGTTTTACTTTAAAACTATAACTTAAAAAGCTGCGGTCTGTTTATTTTTATCAGATATTTGGAGGATACAGCAATCTACAGTAATATTTGTAGATTGCCAGAAACTTGGAGGTAAAGTAAATGCACTTTATCACAGATTCTGTATAGCAATCGGCTGAAATAAAGAACCAGCGCACTTGTTAGGGTAAAAATAAAGCCCTGTCCTTGGTTTAAAAATAGAAACACCTGTATATTATAGAATTGGGAAAAGATGTACTTGTCAGCAACAAGTCTGGATAACATTTAGGGAATCCGGTTGGCTTATGATACAAGACATTCTGAGTTTAAAATGCCAAAACTCAGTAGGAGCCTTGGCTTTTCTTCACTATCCACAAAAGTCATGAGGCACCCTTGCAGGGAACTCTTCACTCACGTGGTCAGTCTAGCAGAGCAGGAAATAGGCGGTATTCAACATCGGGGCCTTAATAGGTTCTTTTGAACATATTTGTTTTAGCTGAACTTATTTTTTTAGTGGATATTATTTATGATTTTAGTTAAAGTTACTTATTTTAAGTTAATTACCAAAGATATCTTTTTAATCTTGTTTTTTTCTATTCATCTGTTCCTGTAAGATTTTTCCCTTAGGTATTTTATTTTCCGTTCCTCTGTTTTGAAATAGCAAGCATGAAGACAACTGTGGGGTTTGTCTGTGCACTCAGTGCCTGAGTTGGAAGGCATTTCCCCCTTCCAGTTAGCCCTGCAGGCCCCACCAGTAAACACCCTTTTCCCTTTGAAAATAAATTACTTACAATTAATATTAAATTCAGTCTATGGTGCAGGATGTACATGTACATCTAAATAATTGTCTTAAGTATATTTTCTTTACATGAAGCAAATGTTCCATATTGTGAAAATAAGAACATTGAAATGAGGAGACACCCAGGGAGTGTTAAGTGAATTTGGAGAAGTTCCGAATCTCCAAGACTCCCAGGTCAGCCCAGGAAGCCTGCTCCCTGGGACAACATAGAATGTAAGTGAAGGTAATCTTCTACATTTCAAATTTCCAATTCCTTTAGGAAAAAAAACCGTGATCTAACATCCATGTTCTATACAACTGATAGATATCATCCACGTTATGTGAACAGACCTAGATACATTAGAAAAAGAAAGGAGGCACAAGATTGAGAAAATGACCTCAATTCAGTCCCTTAGGTTTAAGTCACATAATCTAGAAACTCTGAGTAAGAATCCTGAGAAGACATCCCATAGAGGGTCCACATTTGGGTTAGTGAAATCCCTTTCACATCAGTTTGCCTTTAGTGGACATGCGTGGTTTCCAGGGGCCTGGCATCCCTACCCACACCTTCTAGTAACAGCGCTAACGTTTGAGAACATTCGTTGAGAACTCCCTCCTCACTGCATGCAGCTCTGGAGGGGCTGCCAACCTCTGTGCTGTTAGCACGAGCCGCAGAGATGGCCCTGAGGATATACCTGATAGGTGTTAACCAGCTAGCACAGCGTTGACTTGAGCAGAAACGCATGGCTGAGGGGTGAGAAGCATGACCCCAAAGCCATCCCGTTAGAATTTCCAGAGAGATGTGAGGTTTGGAGAGTCTGATACACCCCCATAGGCCATCCAGTTTGGAAAGAAGTAGAAAATATTCATACATGGGCAAAGATTTAGAAACCCTGATACCTGATACCTCCCTGAACATCATAATTAAAGATATTTGCCAGGAAAATGAGAAATAAAATAAGTCAAGAATGAGGAAACCATAGCTGGGAAGGACTGGAAATACAAATGGAAACAAGGTAAATAAAAAGATATATATCTAAAATAATTGTCTTAACTACACTTTTTATGTGAAGCAAATGTTCCATATGGTAAAAATAAGAAAATGGTGGTGATAATAAATATGACTTAAATTGACAAAGATTAGAGTAGTAGACTTACCAAGAGGAATTCAAAAGTGCCAAATTCTTCATTTTCAGTAAAGAGAAGCATAACTTTATTATCCCGCTGTTAATCTTGAAAGTTTAATACTGATTTTTAAATGCTTCGAAAATAAAATTAATCACTAAGGATTGAAAGCGGCATATGTATCTGTTATATCATTATATAAACAATCTACACTATACTTATTAATTCATTCCCCAAACGTTTAGGGGATACTTGTTATGGGCCAGGCACTGGGCTAGATCCTAAAATGCAAAGTTAACTAAAAAACATCCCCTGGAAAGAAAATGGGAAAAAAATGTTTAAAGAGCAAGGAAAGAAAAATAGGAAAAAGCAAGGCCAAACAAAACAATTATGACCATAAATATAATGGGGTAAAGTCCCTAGTTAAAAAGAAAAAACCTAGAGTGGGTTAAGAAACAAAATCCTGTTAAAAGCTCCTTACTAAGAAGGGTCTTGAAATAAGTTGACCTAGTGAGGTTGAAATTTGAAAATGAACAAAAAAAATTAGGCAAAAATAAATATGAAAACAACAAATGTGGCAGAATTCATATGAGACCAAAGACAAGAGAAAAAAGTATGCAGTCAATAGTAACAAAAGGAATATATTACAAGGAAGATATAACAGTTAAATTCTTTGTTCTAAGTGCGTAATATTAAAATGTAAGCAAAACTTTTTTAAATAGAGAGGATGTGGATAGAACCGTCGTAGATGACAACTTTGTCACCCCACTGTCAGTCTGATAGTTGAAGTAGATAAGAATAAGAAATAGGGTTGAGTCAACAGAAATATATTTTAAACTTTGTCCTCATAAACAGAGACTATATCATCTTTTAAAGCATACACGGCAGTTAAAAGAATTGAGCATGTACTAAGGTACACAGAAAAATAGCAGTAAATTCCCCAGAGTATTAAAAGGCACCATGTTTTTTGACCACATCCCAAATTAATAAAAATTTCCAGCTACTTAGAATGAAAAACGTATCCAGCTGTGGAACCCAGGAGGAAATGTAAAACAATTACAAAATATTTAGAACTTAAGATCATTGATGTGCTTCAGCCAAGATTTTACTCAGAGGTAAATTCATAGACTTTAAATCTTTTCAAGAGAAAAGGAAAAAAACAAGATTACAAGAATAAAGGAGGAAGAAGCACAAGAATCATGAAAAAATTAAAATAGAATAAAACAAAAAGTAAATAACGGCAGAAAGTTCCAAATGACAAAAAGAAAACTGTAAGATCGAAGTTATTTTTTCATAAAAATGGAAGCTTTTCTTTCATTTTATAATGCCTGTATCCTGTGAGGGTGGATTACATTACCTGTGTGTTTATGGAATTATGATATCGGCAAAGAAAGGCCACGTTAATGGCTGTGCCTGCGTCGGTGAATACTGTCACGGTCCTTTGTTTGATGCGGGGGGTAGTTATTTAGTAAAACCTAATCATTAATACTGATGAGCAAACGTCTTAGTTTTTAGGGTATTTTATTCCATCACTTTAAGAAAATAATTATTAAGGTCTGGGCGGTAGTTATTTAGCAAAACCTAATCATTAGTACTGATGAGCAAACATCTTTGTTTTTAGGGTATTTTATTCCATCACTTTAAGAAAATAATTATTATTTTATAATATAATTATTAAGGTCTTGTTTTGCTAAAAGTCCTTCAGTTTCCTGCTGAGGCCACCATAAA